ATTACAGGATTTTTTTTTTTTTCGCAGGGCCTGCATTGTACAGATGCTTTACTGTAGGTGGCAATTTTATCCAAATACAACCTTTTTTTTTTACATTCTTGAAACAATGTAGTCATTAGCCTCAGATGTTCACAGCTAGTGCATTTCTATTTTCCATCTACTATTATGCTGAACAGAGCTTACATCACAAAAACCATAACCACATCATGATATCCTGACCGAGGATTAATACATGTTTCTGGGCAATATACTTTTTAGATAAATATGTGCTTAAAGTCTCACATGATGCACATTTTCGGACTGAACAATATGTACTGTTTACATTCTAAACTCAGCAGTTTTAGTAGCAAACCTGAACTTCATCAGCAAAACTTCATGCAAAAATAGCCAATTTAACAATAACAAATTAATGCAAAAATTCAGCCGGTGTAGGCTTCTACAACCAGCATTTAACCATTTACATTTTCGGGAAGTTGCAATCTTCAAAATGCCATCTGGTTCCTTAAAAATACCCATGACTCCATGTAGTTAGCAGTAGGCTTAATTTCTCGCAGACACCACAGAGTGATGTATTTGGCACAGGATTAGACTCCGCTTGTTCGCCTGTGAGGCGAAGAGCTCTTTGCTCAAGTTTTTTCCAAAAGTGTTTAAAAGCTTTAGTAGCAGTTGTTAAACTACTTTGGCTCAAAATTTGCTATGAATTCTCACTTTAGTGAATTACCCTAAATTTTTTTGTATGAGTCACAATCACAACAAGGACAATTAACAAAATATATCCTTTTTCACATGTCTTTCCCTCTCCTTTACCCATATGAACATGTTAGTAACTTTCGCATAAATACATGACTTGTATTAATTTTTACAAGTTTGTTTCTTTAACCTTTTCTTTTATATTAAAGACAGTATGCAGCTGTCCAGATTGTATTTCATGATACATATTAAAATGGACCATCAAGAAGGAATTTCATTCATTATGTTCCTTTCACATATATTTAATAATGCAATCCATACAGAAAGACATATATTAGTGATCACAGTTCCTTTTGCGGTCTATTGTTTGATTGCCAGTGAGGTTAACTCAGCCTCATTTCACCTTGCGTTCCATAGGATGAGTATTATTAATTTGGGTAATAATGCAACGCTGATCCTAGATTCACTGGAAAACTAGTAAAAGTTAAATTCATGAATACATTATTTTAAATTATTATTTAAACTTCAAAATGGGTAATCCGTTGTATAAAGAATACCGAAGATGACCTTATTAAAACAAAGTATAAAGAAGAAAAAATCAGTTTGGGCTTGTCACTGCAAAAACCTTGAAACACAACCTAATTTAGGACAAATTATTGGCATCCGTATTGAGTAATCCAATATTATGGCTACAGGACGGCAGTGTTTTCATTCAGCAAATCAGGTTTCATCTAGTTCCAGTTTGTGGATATAAAGCAAATTATAGTTTATTAAAGCCTTGAACAGAGCAATCATGACATTTTCTCCATCGTGTTGAATAAATTGAGTTAAGGTTCACAGTGTTCATTACTTTAGTCTTACTTTTGTTTATATTCACTGAGCAAAACATCGTTTTATTGCGTAATTGGTTCTGACTGCAAACATTATGGAATGTGATGACCCACAGAAAACTAAAAAAAATTCCCCATTTCCCAATTGCCTTAGAAACTTGTGTATCAGGGATTTATGTAGACTTCCATTCAACAATAGGAATCAATCACACAGGTAGAGCCGCCATCAGGAGGATACAGCCAATACAGCTGTACAGGACACAGGCCCAGCATGTGCCGGCCCTATACCCTCAATGTGCATATATAGTGAGTATCTCTCTCTCTCCTAGGAGACTCCAAGTTACACCTCTAGCAGTGTCTTCTCACAAGCCCTGGCTGTGAGAGTGTTGCTGTGGATTACCTTGGGAACACTCCATGAGGCACACATGCCGAACTTGAGAAGGAGAGTACCTGCCACATGCCGGAGGGAAAAGGGACACTCCTCACTCCATGGCTACAGGAGGGAGAAATGAGCATTAACTATAAATGAACTTTACAAACTAACACAAACACACACACTGCATCCACTACATCCACTAAACACATACTGCATCTAATACACACTCTACATCCAGGACACACATACTGCATCCAGTACACAAAAAGTTGGATCCAATAGACACATACTGCATCCACTACACACACTCTACATGCACTATACACACACTGCCTTCAATATTCACACACTCTGCATCCACTTTACAAAGATGATGTGCGTTACACTAGTGATGTGCTTGCACTATGCTTGTTGGGAACAATTCTTCAAAAGTGGGGACAGAGAGACAGGGCCCAAAAATTGGGACTGTCATGAAAAAATCAGGACAGTTGGGAGGCCTGTGTTAGTTTTGGTGGCACAGGTATCTCCTGCCAATCTGCTCATTCCAAGACCAACATTGGTGTTTCACACAATGCACTGGCTAAGGCTGATAGCATTATATATATATATATATAATATATCTGTATGAAAAAATACATTAATATTGATCCTAAATTGTAAATGCATTCAAGCAGAACCTTCTTCATCTCTTGTATCTGTCAGCATTATTTTATTTGTGAATCACTTGCTGTTATATGTCCCCACTGTATAATTGTAAAGCTCTGATGAATATATTGGTGCTATAAAAATTCTAATAATAATACTGAAAATGACAATGGTCTGACAAACAGAAACGTAACAAAAGTTTCGTATCAGTGTCAGTTGTTAGAAATACATGAATAAGCTTTGCTGTTGATTTCTGAACTTGGTATGTGTGCACAAACCACTCATATGTGCTGATCTGACATCCACTGTCACGATGCATAACATTGTGTGATTAATTAGGACATTTGTTCTACACCGGCTTTAATCATAATAGATTAAATAACATGTTCCATCTTACTGTGACTGGTTCAAATGTCTTCATTCTGTTTGAATAACTCATATTTTAGGTTTAAATCTACTCTGGCACAACGCAGCAAGCTGTAGTTACTTGAAAATTAATTTGCTAAAGTTAGGCTTTTATAGCCATGTTGGATAAAATCTCAAATTCAAATAATGATACTTACATTAGTTCACCTTTATTATGATTACTATAATATCATGTTGGCATTAATTTTGAATATTAGTTTTAAAACCATTAAAATTTGCTGTTCATTGAACAGACTCTAGAATTTTTCATCCATTTTATGAATGTAGTTAAAGGATGCATTTATCGCCGAACAAAAGAGAATGTTTTGCAAGCAGTTATTTTTTTTTTATCAGGAACCCAATCATTTCCAATAACTTGTTATTAGAAAAAGAAAATAATTTCATAGATTCTTTTTCAGAGAGAAGGTTAAATAAAAAAATAGTAAGTGCTTTAGAAAACTGTAATAGGACATGCTTTAACTGTAGTAGGACCACTCTAGGCACCCAGACCACTTCAGCTTAATGAAGTGGTCTGGGTGCCAGGTCCAGCTAGGGTTAACCAATTTTTTCATAAACATAGCAGTTTCAGAGAAACTGCTATGTTTATGAATGGGTTAAGCCTTCCCCCTAATCCTCTAGTGGCCGTCTCATTGACAGCCACTAGAGGCGCTTGCGTGCTTCTCACTGTGATTTTCACAGTGAGAGCACGCAAGCGTCCATAGGAAAGCATTATGAATGCTTTCCTATGTGACCGGCTGAATGCGCGCGCAGCTCTTGCCACGCGTGCGCATTCAGCCGACGGGGAGGAGAGGAGGCAGAGAGCTCTCCGCCCAGCGCTGGAAAAAGGTAAGTTTAACCCCTATTCCCCTTTCCAGAGCCGGGCGGGAGTGGGTCCCTGAGGGTGGGGGAACCCTCAGGGCACTATAGTGCCAGGAAAACGAGTATGTTTTCCTGGCACTATAGTAGTCATTTAAGAAAATTTTAAGGTTATTCCCATACCCCAGAATTGTATAAATATTTCAAAAATTTCAAATGAAATGCAGTGAGATGAAATGAATAAAGTAGTTTATTGCCAAGAAGATTGTTTGCAATATCTGCCTTTTGGGGCAGGACTAGGTTAACATATGGACAGATGGAGCTCCAGGCCCACACCTCTATAATAGACCTAAGAACCTTAAATAACACTAATTAGCATATTTTATTTAATTTTGCAACCGTATAATAAAAGTTCTAGGGGGGCAGACAGGCTCTTGTATGGACCACCAGTAGTATTGGATGAAGCTCTCTCTTAGTTGTAAAATGGCCCTTCCTTCTGCCCTTCCCCTAGGCTACAGTTCATGCTGTTTAGCTCAAGTGGAGGGGGCAAGGCCATGATGCATGCCCTATCCCTGCTCATGTGTCACTGATAGGCTGACAAACTTCTTCATATTCCAGCTGCCCCTTGCCTATGAATTAAAATGGAGGCTATACATGGCTGCCCTGCTTTCCTCTAGACACAAGGAACCCCTTCTACATACTGGACAATGTTTTCTCCAGTTTCACCTCACAGCTACCAACAGCATGTTGCTGCTGGAAGGACTCTTATTATAATGTGTACATTAAAGTGAGTGTATGTGTGAATTGGTGTATGTATGTAAGTTTGTGTATGTATATAAACTGATGTAATAGAGAGTGTAGGTATGTCAATGAGAAGGCGTGTTTATATGACAATACGAGTGTGTGTATTAGTAAGCGTGTGTAACAGTGTGTAAGTGGAGTGTTTGAGAGTATGTGTAAGTGATTGCATGTGTAAGTGTGTAAGTGTCATTGTGTATGTGTAAGTGATTGCATGCCATTGACAATGTGTGCTAAATGTGTCACCATCACTTAATGCTGTTTATAACTTAAGCACTTTTAAAGACAGTCCAATTCTATCTATACATCGTGCTAGTAAATTTGCAGGCAATTGTATAGATTGGCAGAAAAACCTGTTTTAAAATAAGTCTTTCTACAATCTGTCAATCAATTCTTCAGATTGGACTCTAAAATGTAAACAAGCAAACAGTGTAAAGTGCGTGCAATCCAAAACAAAGTGAACCAACCCCAAAATAAACAAAGAGGTATACATTACAATACTCTCCTAAATAGCAATAGGGATACTTATGGAGTAAAAGGACATCTAATAAAAAAAGAGGAACAGAGAGATCTCATAGTGTAGCGTATATCTGACAATATCTGTCAGATATTTTACCGTTGTTGTTAATGATTGTCTTTAGAGCCTGTCAAGTCATGTTGACCTGGTGCCTTTGTCTCATTGAGCTGAATGCATCTCTACACAGATTTAAAACAGAAAAATATATTTTAGTATGTTGTAAAATTTTCCCTGATTTTGTGCTGTAACCCAAAATATATTTGTGATGGTTTTTAAAGATGTAATTTACTCCGATCCCACAGTCTTCTTTCCTGTGACTTCATGTGTTTTTTATGAACTCCACATGTTTATTTTTATCTTATTGATTCACTCATGTATCAGAAATGCCATTTTTATTGTTTGTAACAGACCCAAATTCTCATGTACTTTTTTGCGTTCCCAAAGGAGATTTTGGACATTTTGTTCTTTGTGATTATGACACTGATTCATCCATAGTATTTCAGGCACACTGTTAAAAACAAAACACTGCAGCCATTTGATGGACACCAAAACTGCTTATATATTATTAACTATTCATGTTCATTTTAGACTGTAAACTGTCTAGTGTTAGTACATCCAAGAGAGATCAGATATTTTATTTATGTATATGTGGTAGGCAAATAGTAATTTCAGGAAAAAAGCTTTTGTCAAGGAACATTTGCCTAGGGAAAACCCTCTGCCTAACTAGCATTCAGGCAAAACTAGACATGTTCAATACATTTCATTCTGAATGTACATTCGGTGAATTTCGTGAAGTTTGGACATTTGGATGCTTACCAATGTCAGAAGTTCGAATTGCCGAATTTCCGATTTGCCGAAATGCCGAATTTCCAAAGTGCCGAACCGAATTGCCAAAGTTCAGAATTGCCGAAGTTCCAGAGTGCTTCGGATTTCTGAAAAGGGGCAAAACAAGTGGTTAGGGTTAATGGTTAGGTGTTAGGGGTTAGGGGCAAAGCAAATGGTTAGGGTTTGGGGTTAAGTTTAGGGTTAAGGTTAGGGTCAGGATTTAGGGTTATGGGCTAGGGTTAGGATCCGAATTACCAAAGTTACGAATTGCCAAAGTGCCGAATTGCTGAAGTGACGAATTGCTGAAGTGCCGAACCGAATCGAATGCCATTGGTCCTAATTGTCGAAGCAGACACATTTTCTTTTACTTACCCGAATTTCCGAACCGATCCAAATTTTTTGCCCATGCACATCCCTAGGCAAAACCATTTGATGAGCGACTGCTTGGGAGCATATTGTTGAGCAGGGGCCACTTTTCTTGTAGCATCCCAGGGGGCTATTGGAAACCATGGTCCACTTTCCTGGTATGCCTATGCACCTATTGGCAAGACGGAGACACTTTCCCAGGTTGCCTGGGCACCTGTTTCTTAGGCAAATGACTTAAGAACATGAAAAAATTAGTTAGACAACTGTATAAATGATTATAAGTGTATACTTACTTTTAAAAATAAATATTACCAAACTATTTGTCTGAATACTAGCTAGATAAACAGCTTTTGCCTAGGCAGATTGTTTTCAAGCTAAAATAACTGGGGAGAGAGAAAGAGAGATAGAGAGAGATAGAGAGAGAGAGCAGATATTATAGTCATATTAGTCTTTTGTAGCCTTTTTAGGCTATTGATTAGCCACACCTTCTCTGGTGGTGACTCAGTCTGCATGAGAAAATTTTTTAAATTTTCACTCAGATTAAGTTTTTATTTCCTGCTCTGTAAATTGACATACATGAGGCTCATGCACAGTCTAGAAGACTCTTAACAGAGCAGAAAATAAGAAATGATAAATTAAACATAATTTGCAATAAAGGAAGTGTAAACATTAAATATCTCTGTACAGGAAGTGTTTAGGAAGGCTATGCAAGTCACATGCAGGGAGGTGTGACTAGGGCTTTTTAGATAAAGTTATTTCACTCCAAAATGGCAGAGAATTGAGCAGTGAGACTAAATGGACTTGATCTACACCAAAACTGCTTCATTAAGCGAAATTGTTTTGGTGACTATAGTGTCCACTGAATGAATACATACTATATTTACACTTTCATTTCTAGATGAAGGATAGTTCCCAAAATGTATAAATCCAGATTTTACAATACACATATTATAATTCTTCAGTTATCAGAGTCAACATTGTTGTGTTTCATCTGCATATTAGTTTATTTAAATCTTAACTCTTTTACAACATAGATAGTATTATTTCCCCATTTACTTAAATGTGTAACTCCATTATATCTGCAATGTTCATCTTTTGGATAATTACACAATGAAAGTCAAATGATAAAGTTGCAGAAATTAGAGGCTTCAATGAAACCCTGTTTTGTGTTGTTTGTGAGCACAGTTAATATTATAAGTGGCAGATTAACTCTTCTAGAACAAAGTTTAAATAAAACATTGCTGAGGACATTTCAAGCACTTGGAATGATAGCTGTGCTACATATTTAAATGAATGCCTTGTGATGAGTTACAAATACTTTGATACTGTCTCACAATAATGGACTGGAGCAGTCCATATTTATGGTGTGCTGTCATTTTGCAAGAAATGGTCCTTCAGATCATGGTGAAAGATGGCTCCCCTTCCACAGGTGTTGACTACCTCACATTGGATTAACCACTTGGACTATGCCAGGTACCTAAAAAGGGAAATCAGAGACTAAACATGGCTAGTTTATGCCAGGGCTACTCTTGCACACCAGGTATTCATCCCACAATATGATATCAGATAGAAATATCAAACATGTATATCAGCTTGTAAGGTGCAAACAAGTAAAATTAACAAAAGCTTGAATAAATATTGTGATTTTTTTTTTTAACATCACAATGTTCATTTTGACCAACACTGACTATTTATGAAGGTGGACAACTATGTTTAATGGATGAGAGAGTATGAATGCTTGATATCATTCCATCTCAGTGGCTGCCAACCGACATTGGGTAAGACAGAACAATAACAAGAAAATCTACCCGAGAAGACATATTGTGAATACCACAGGAGGAATGAGACCCAACCGGCTACACTTTTAGTTTCAGAGATATGTCTGGTGTCAAAGAGCCTAAACATGCATCACAATTAGACAAAAGTATGCATGCGTAGGTTAACGAATGAAAAGGAGTGGCAATGCAGAAATGTTTGCTTATAAACTATGTAACAGCCGATAAACCTGATTTATGATTGCACTAAAAATATGAAACAGAAGTTATTTATTTCCAACATGTAGAATAATGGCTGTCATTAAACTGTAATTTTCATCATTCACAGTTTGATTATCAAGCCAAAAACTCCCTATGGGTAACTTGCACAGAGATGGAATTTTAAATTACCTCCAAATTATACTAAACAATTCTAAACTTAAAAAAAATAATAATAATTATATGTAGGTCTTAAGGCAGTATAGTATATGACACTCATACAAGCACACATTTGCTGAAATAATCAAAATGTTTAGTGGATGAACCGAGCATATATCTTTTTGCACACATTAGAGTGGGAATGCATGATTCCATTGTTAAATCTTTTACTTAAAACCTCACAGGACATAGCCGAAACCTCGAGGTATCGCAATGTCTGTGACTGGCAAAGCTCTTTATTTATAAATAATATATAAATAAGTATATACTTACTTTTAGAAAGAAACTAAAAATTTCTATAGTAAATCACTATCAGTTCACTTCAAAACTGGGACATAAACTATACCAGTTGAAAAATGTACAGTTACAGTACTATATACAATATATGTTATAGATATCCAAGATAGCATCTCTATTTTTTTTCTTGTCCAGATGTGTTGTCTTTGTATTTGTCTCGGTTTTTAAACTGCTATGGTCTCAATTTAACATTTTTGGATACACTTTTAAAATGATTATGAAAATATTATAAAAACTATTTTATAGTCTTAGAATATTTTTATATATTTTAAAATATATATTTTTTTCTAAAATAGAAAATAATAAAAGGAGCACTAAAAAGTCATTCAAAAGGGGAAAACATGGGAAAATAAGTGCCTCCTTAAGAATTATAAGAAATAAATATAAAAATATACATCTAAAAACTCTATAGTCTCACACTTTAATTTAATCAGCCGCTTCACATTTACATTGTTTACCCCCCAATTTAAACACACTAAAAACCAACAAAAAGTAGTAAAAAAAGTGGAACAGTAATAGTGTTAAAAGCACCAAACACCCAATAAGATTAAAACATAAATATATACTTGTACAGCAAGTAGATGTCTCCAAATGATGTATAGAGATGGATTAAGTATGCACATGAAAGAAAAAAAAAAAAAGAACAACATACTATAGTGCAATACTGTTCTCCAGCAAATGTAACAGCAATTATTATGTCTTCCACTATAGAGAGCGGTTAACAGAGCTCGATGTATCTCATTCTTTGGATATAGAGCAATGACAGACTATTTCCGGACCACATAAAACTTTAGTCATTATTTCGATAAAACCATATAAAGCTGCTAACAGAACATCGATGGTGAATAACTCCTGCTGGAACACAGCTACTCACTTAAGCATTTTTGAGCATATATATACCGTATATACTCGAGTATAAAGCCGAGTTTTTCGGCACATTTTTTGTGCTGAAAAACCCCAACTCGGCTTATACTCGAGTCAGTCTGTATTATGGCAATTTACATTGCCATAATACAGACTGGGGGCTGGCAGAGCTGTTACCTCTCCTGCAGCTCCTGTCAGCTCCCTCCTCCTCCGCGCCGGTCCGTGCAGCTCCTCTGTCAGCTCACACTGTAAGTCTCGCGAGAGCCGCACTATGACCCCGCGGCTCTCGCGAGACTTACAGTGTGAGCTGACAGAGGAGCTGCACGGACCGGCGCGGAGGAGGAGAGAGCTGACAGGAGCTGCAGGAGAGGTAAGTAACAGCTCTGCCAGCCTCCCTCCTCCCCCCACTGAACTGCCAATGCCACTGGACCACCAGGGAAGGAGAGCCCCCCTCCCTGCCATGTATCAAGCAGGGAGGGGGGACAAAAAATAAATAAATATAATAATAAAATATTAAAAATAATAATAAAATAAAAAATAATAACAAAATATTAATAAAACAAAAAAATTATTAAAATAATAAAAAAATAAAAAAAATGCCCACCCCCCACCAAGGCTC